TTGCTGGGGTCGTTTGACCCCAGTACTCTTTCCTGCCATGGCAAGGGGTTGGACTAGATGATCTGCTCAGGTCCCTTCCCACTCAACTAACTAGGAAACTATGACCCAAAAAAGGAACAGTTACGAATCCTACAGTAACTTCAGTGAACAGACTTCTTGAGACTTCAGGAAGAAGTCTTAAGCATCCCTAGTTACGTGACAACCACGCCTAGAGCTGGGGAATGCCACCCTAGCCATTCTGGAGATGCATGGTGGGCTGGTTGGCCTTTGGTAGGTCCAGCTGCAGTGCCACCCATGGACCCAATGGGAGACTGGTATCTGCTCAGCTTGAGGGAGAAGATGAACACAGGAGAGGATGGTGCAGAATACATCTTTTAGATCAGTTGAGATTTTAGGACAGGACGGCACATGCAAACTGAGGCTCATGTAGGTTTTAGTAGCCACTATGATTCCAGACAGAGAGAGGCCTTCCAGGGCCAGCATTGTGTCACTGCTGGAATCTGATTCTCTGAAGTTGGTCCCCCTTTTGTAATGAGCAAGATATGGGCACATTATCAGTATTTGTGTGGAAAGGCACTGAGCTCCTGCCCTGAAGTTCAGGCAGCACCTATCAATTCATCTGTGCACTAGATGGGGCAGGTTTAGCCTGTTGCCAGGGATCCTTAACTAGCTGATCATAGGACAGACAGGGTTTGAAGGTGATAGATTTTGACTCTGCCAGGAACTCTAAACAAGTGGAAACATCAAAGGAAGTCAATCCCAATGGCATTTCTCCAGAAGTAGCTGTTTAAAAGTAGAAGAAACAAAAGACTGTTTTGAAAGCTTCCTCAAACGTAAGAAATGTAGGAAGGGATAGCTAGACTAGTATCTGCAGGGTCAATCAGCTCTAGGTTCCTAGAACAGGCCTCACAGTGCCGGAAACACACTCAAAGTACTAGTTTCCTAACAGAAAGAAACAAACACTAACCTAATCATCAAGGACCCATTTATACATGGAGAGGCTGCAGGATGCATGAAGAGGTTTATACACATCAAGATTCTACCTGTACCCACAGACAGCGACATGAAATCAAGGGATGCTTCAGTCAGCCCTTTCATTTGTGCCTTTGTGCTGAGTATTCTGAGATGCACCACACAGAAACAAAGAAATTCAGGCTGTGATTCTGCTCCAAACACTGCTGGCCAAGATAATCCATTTGTCTGCTATGCACACACACACCCCAACTGAAGCAAATACAGGAAGAACTGACATTTAAAGTGCACCACAATTTATAGTAAATGATTCCTACCATCTCAGAATATAAGAGGTGTTTCATGGGAGGAAAAAAACATAACAAATGTAAAAAAAAAAAAAGCTTCGTGCTGCTGAACAAAAGGGCAGGAGCTAAATCTAAATGTTTCATCTCTTGTTTTTTTATGGCCACATTAAAGTTTAAGCTTTTGGAAGGGCCGTTAATGAAGAGCAATCACTAGCATCTGTGGAATATGATTCCCCTGTGCCATTTACCACCTCCTGCAATTCATCAACTCTACCTTTGCTGCAGATCTCCTTGGTCAAGTCTCATTTCTGGTTGGGGAAGGAAGGTAAAGTGAGAGAAAAAAAAATAGTTCATCTAAATCATGCAAAACCACATGCCTTCTTGTAGGGAAAAAAGCCAGCACTGGTAAAAGTGCAGGGAGTGCACCTGCCTGCACAGGTGAAGGCATTTGCTTCTCCCCACACAGATAGGGACAAGTTCCCAACAAGTAAAATCACTAATTCCTTAAAAAAAAAAAAACAGGGCAGAAGGGACCTCGGAAGGTAATTTAGCCCAACATGCAGCTCAAAGCAGGATCATCGCTGATTAAATCAAAGTCTAGCATTTGTCTAAACATTTGAAAACTTAGAATGATGCAGATTCCAAAATTTCTGTGGGTAGCCTGCTCCAATGCCTAGTCACCCTCATAATGAGAAAGTACTTCCTAATATCTAACTTAAAATTTCCCTTGCTGAAATTTAATACCATTGCTCATAACTCTGTCCCTTGAATTCCCATCTCTCAGTCTATCACCGTCCTCTTTGCAACAATCCTTCAAATATTTAAAGACTGTTAACTAATCCCTCCTCCCTTCCATCCCTGCCCCTGACATTCTCTCTTCACCAGGCTAAATAATGTCTGCTCTCAGTGCTTCTTCATGAAATTGTCTCTCTCTGGCCTCTGATCATTTTTGTCATCCTCTGTTGGACACTAATTCCATATCCTTCATCCATATCCTTCGTGAAGTGTGGGGCCCAAAACTGGATATAGTACTCTAAATGAGGCCTCGCTCTAAATTAGTGCTAAATAGAGGAAAAAATCACCTCCTTTGACTTGCAAGTGACACTACAGTTAATACAACCTAGCATACTATCAGCTTTTTTTGCACAAGAGCACACTGTTGGCTCATATTCAGCTTAGGGTCCACCATAACTCCCATGTCCTTTTCTGCGGTACTGCAGTCCAGCCAGAAGAACCAAGCCTACCCCACACTTCCAGGGAATGAAATGCTACACAACTTAACCATTGGGCTTGGATCCTATCCCTACTCCCAACACAAGTTAGTGTTCCCCCAAAACCCAAAGGAAATTACACAGGCTTATGCAAGGCAAAGATATGATCCACAAGTAAGAGTTAAGAGCTTCCCATCTTCGCTCCTAGGATAAAAGCACAGCTCCTGATCAACCCAACTGACCATCCTTGAGGTTGTTTGCCATCAGGGAAGCTAGCATGTGAAGTTTGGGTTCTACATACCCATAAGCTTGTATTTAGTAACAGTGCACCTTGATTTACAAGAACCAAAGAAAGGCAGCTTTGTTGAAGCAGGATGAAGTTTTCTAAAGCAGCAGGCTCATAAAGGCAAAGGGCTTGCAGTACAGTTCTAGAAAGCAGACAAAGCCTAAATCGTTAAGGCATATAAAAATAAAGCTTCAGTTCTTCCCCTCGTTTCAAAATATCTTTTCCCCTGCAAAAGAGGAGAAAGAAGAGGAGCAGTTTTTCCCAGCCTCCAGAAGAACTGGTTGACTTCTCTACTTGAAAGTAGGTAAGGAAGTTTTAAGTACCTGTTACCCATCACCACACATAGTAAGTGCAAGGGCAAAGGCAAACGTTCAAAATGCTTTTTTTTTTTTTTTTTTT